CTTCATGGCAGAATCGTGTCAGTGCAGTTAAGTAAGTTCAATAAATAATTGAGGTGACATCATTGTGGGCCCCAATTAGCAGGCGTCGTTCTAGTGAAGGTGGTAGAAGCGGCTTTTCACCAACAGAAGTGATAACATATGTAATGCTGTCACTGTAGAGGAGACCTCTCAGGTGTTAATGATGGAAATACTCAATGACGATATTGAATACAATAAAGACATTAGAATGAAGTCTGTCTGCACGGTTATAGACATAATTCCGAGTATATAGGAAGAGGAACGGTCTTGGTATAAGTATATAGGAAGAGGAACGGTCTTGGTATAAGTATATAGGAAGAGGAACGGTCTTGGTATAAGTATATAGGAAGAGGAACAGTCTTGGCACTCTGATGGGGGGCGCCTGATGTAAGGGGCACTCTGATGGGGGCGCCTGATGTAAGGGGCACTCTGATGGGGACACCTGATGTAAGGGGCACTCTGATGGGGGCGCCTGATGTAATGTGGCACTCTGATGGAGATACCCAGAGTAAGGGGCACTCTGATGGGGACACCTGATGTAAGGGGCACTCTGATGGGGACACCTGATGTAAGGGGCACTCTGATGGGGACACCTAATGTAAGGGGCACTCTGATGGGGACACCTAATGTAAGGGGCACTCTGATGGGGACACCTAATGTAAGGGGCACTCTGATGGGGACAGCTGATGTAAGGGAGCACTCTGATAGGGACGCCTGACGTAAGGGGGTACTCTGATGGGGACAGCTGATGTAAGGGGCACTCTGATGGGGACAGCTGATGTAAGGGAGCACTCTGATGGGGACAGCTGATGTAAGGGAGCACTCTGATAGGGACGCCTGACGTAAGGGGGTACTCTGATGGGGACACCTGATGTAAGGGGTACTCTGATGGGGACATCTGATGTAAGGGGCACTCTGATGGGGACACCTGATGTAAGGGGGCACTCTGATGGGGACACCTGATGTAAGGGGCACTCTGATGGGGACACCTAATGTAAGGGGCACTCTGATGGGGACAGCTGATGTAAGGGAGCACTCTGATAGGGACGCCTGACGTAAGGGGGCACTCTGATGGGGACACCTGATGTAAGGGGACACTCCCATGGGGACACCTGATGTGAGGGGGACTCATCTGCCTGCTGAAACAATGGCAGCCAGGAATGACTCCTCTATCCTTTAAAGCTCCAATAAAGAGACTTATGAGCAACAAAGTAGCAGGTGTAAAGTAATACAACTTAACTTTTTGGGCAAGGTTTTCTTTTAAGGAACTACAGGTCTCAGCATGGCCCTGACCAGCTGGGCTATGCGGTTCTGCCTTCCCACAGGCTACCTCCGCCTGCTCCGGCATCCTCCAAGCAATAACCAGCTGGCGTTGTACCAGTTCATAAAGCATCCCGTTCCCCAGCGAGGCATTTACATCCACAGCAGGGCTCCCCTATGCATTTTAAGACAATTTGTTTTAGTGTTTGTGCGCGTGGCGGGCGGGCGGCTTCTGCTTTCCAATGGCGTAATCAGGAGCCGGTCGGAATGTGGACGCGGCGTAGTTTTTTTTTAACACGGCGGACGCTGCTGCGGCGGAAAAACGTGATGTTTGTCGGCGCTCACCGCGCACCAGACGGTGCCTAGTGGTAAAATAAGTTTAAGAAGAGGACCAAATGATGGAAAGAGCTGCTGACTTTCACCTGATGTTGTGTCAATAATTAAATAATCCGACCGCTCCATCATTTCAAAGGGAAGAGGGGGGCGCAAATACATTTTCACAGTGTGTGTGTGGATGTGGGATCTTGTATGGTAGTTAGCTGCGCATGTTACTTCACTGGGGCTCCGCCCACAACACAGCCGCATCGTCAGTTCATCATTCGGTTGCGATGCTTTACTGGCTCCTATGCAAAAAAAACAGAATATGCACTTTTTTATTTATTTATTATTTGCATTCATTATTTTTTTTTCTTACGAGTTGGAATTTCCCTTTTAATTATTCTGGTTGTCGTGTTGCCAAGGTAATAGATTTGCATATCTAGGTCAGCAAGCACAAAAATGTTCAATAAGCTTTAACAGCACGGAGCGGACACGCCGCTGTATATCACGCTTCTGCCTGCGTGTACGGATTTATTATTTTTAAGCAAATTGGGAAAGTTGCAAATTTAATCTGCTTATTTTGCATTCCTTGGTTCCTCCCCGTCCCCACCACCTCCCCGTCCCCACCACCTCCCCGTCC